ACAACAGGGTTCTAGGGTTACAATACAACTAACTCATTCAGAATATAAAGTAGTGTATAGCAGATTTTAATAGCAAGAACACCTACATGTGTTCGATGCCATGTCTGAGCCGCAAGTTGGTCTTCTACTCCCACTACTCAATATCTCCCTTACTGTCAGAATAGGTCTCAGTAATTTCTTAGGGTTTTTCACGTAAGGGAGCAGGGACTACAACTTCATATATTTATATATATCAGTTAGGGTTACGCCACCGGCCTATCAACGGTCGCATACCCTTATCATCTAAATGATGAAAGAGTCCTATCATGATTCAATATCTTTGCATTAAACCCTTATCAGGATTTGATCAAGTTAGCTGCATGAATATAAGACTCCATAATCCTTATGTGTTGGAGATCAACTATATCACTTTTATAACAAATAACCCGTAAACAAGTTACTTGTCATTCAAGTGATACCAAACACTCATTGTCATTCACTAGAACTTTTACATTCTCCCACTTGAATGTCAATGAGAAATCTCAACTCACAAGGACTCACGGTGATCACTGAGCCTTCCAAATTTGCAACCAACTTTTCTTGACAATGTGTCACTAAAAGTTGAATGTCGAACCAAGGAAAGTAAAGAACAAGTCGGTCTGTACATTGCATTCCATGATTACAGACACATTTAACTTAAAGCACAATGTCAACAGCAAAGTCATGATAACAAGAATCATTAACCAAAACAATGATTCACAACATAAGAACATTAGCTGTTAAGATAAAATATGAATGAAAACTTCAAATCATACTAGCTGCTGATTGAATCAAAATAATGAGAGTACTGACAAAACCAACCATATTCAAACATGATTATCACAGTTAATCGAGTGTTTACTCCCACTCATTAACTGATTCAAAAGTCTCTTTAACACCCATATTGAAAACATGGCTTTTGAACACTCCCACTGGTAGAGCCTTAGTCATGGGATCTGCCACCATAAAAGTCGTGCCTATATGTTGAATATCAATAGTCCCTTTCTTAACTTCATCCCTCACCTTTAAGTATTTCATGTCCATCAATCTATTTGCTAAAGACCTCTTGTTGTTCTTTGAGAAGAACACAACTGCCTTATTATCACAAAATAACTTCAATGGTCTGTCAATTCTGTCCACAACTTGCAACCCTTTTATCATATTTCTAAACCACACTGCTTGCTTGGTTGCTGTGTAACAACCAATGAATTCAGCTTCCATTGTCGATGATGCAATCGACTTTTGCTTGGCACTTTTCCACGAAATCGCACCACCAGCAAGTAAGAATAAGTATCCATTGGTTGATCTTCTATCATCTACACACCCTGCAAAATCTGAATCTCTGTATGCCACTAATTCCAACTGGTCAACCTGACTGTAGACAAGCATATAATCTCTGGTCCTTTTCAAATATCGCAACACTTTCTTGGCTATAGTCCAATGAGCTGCCCCAGGATTTGATTGAAATCTTCCTAGTACACTCACTACAAATGCTAAGTCCGGTCTCGTGCATACTTGAGCATACATTAAACTGCTCACAAGTGATGCATAAGGTTTGGATTTCATGCTGTCCTTTTCCAAATCGTTCTTGGGACTTTGATCATTGCTGAACTTGTCTCCCTTTCCAATTGGCAATTCACCACTGGAGCAATTTTCCATATTAAATCTCTTGGTTACTCTATCAATGTACAATCGTTGAGAAAGGCCAAGAGCTTTCTTGCTTCTGTCTCGAACAATCTCGATTCCTAAAACAAATTTGGCTTATCCCAAATCTTTCATGTCAAAGCTGTTAGATAACATTTGTTTGGTTGATTGTAGAAGAGTCATATCTGAACTAGCAATCAAGATATCGTTAACGTATAATACTAAAAACACAACTTTAGAACCACTTATCTTTAGATACACACACTCATCCATCTTGTTTTCATGAAAGCCAAATGCAGTCATAACTTGATCAAACTTCTTGTTCCATTGCCGAGAGGCTTGTTTCAATCCATAAATGGATTTGTTCAGTTTGCAGATCAGTGATTCCTTCCCCCTTTCAACAAATCCTGGTGGCTGGTGCATATAAATGTCTTCTTCAAGATCGCCATTCAGAAATGCGGTCTTTACATCCATTTGGTGAAGTTCTAGGTCAAAATAAGCGGTTAGGGCTAGAATCACTCGCATAGAATCCTTTGTGGACACAGGGGAGAAGGTTTCATTGTAATCGATCCCTTCTCTTTGAGTGAAACCTTTGGCCACTAATCGTGCCTTATGTTTGTCAACATTGCCCTGGGAGTCTCTTTTGGTCTTAAAGACCCATTTACAACCTACTGTCTTTGTGATACCTGCAGGTTTTGGTACAAGGCTCCAAACCTGGTTTGTGTTCATTGAGTCAATCTCTTCAGTCATTGCTTGGTGCAAAAGTGGTGCCCTTATGCTAGTAATGGCTTGGTGATACGTGGCAGGATCATCTTCATCGTTAAGACTATATTCTGCTTCATTTAAGTAGACAAAATCTGGGAGCATAACTGTTTTCCTAGCTCTTTGGGATCTTCTAACATTTTCAGCAGCTGGTACTTCGAGTGGTGGTTAATTTCCTGTAGTAGTGATATTCATTGGATGCTCATAAATCTCTTCATTTGGGTCGTTAGTCTCAGCAGCATTATTTGGAGTTCCCTCTTCCATGAAGGAGATTGGTGCTTCATTTTGTGTTTCAGGTGGAGTAGATAACACCTGTGGTGGGGAAATCCTAAACCCTAATGTTATGTCTTGCGGATCAAGCAAGAGAGTGTCATCATTTCTCAGTTCCTCAAACTCAAGTGACTGTGAAGTAATGGCACACGCACCTAACTCCTCAGGTTCTTTTACAAACTTTGCATTGTGAGTTTCCATTATTCGAGAGGGACCATGTTGACAGTAAAATTTAAACCCCTTTGACTTTTCTGAATAACCAACAAACCTGCAACTCATTGTTCGTGGATCAAGCTTTTTCTCATTTGGATTATAGAATCGAGCCTCGGCTTTACAACCCCATATGTGAAAGTGATTAAAACTTGGTCTTCTTCCAGTCCAGGCTTCAAAAGGCACTACTGTCACTGACTTGCTCGAAACTCTATTGATGATGTAGTTGGCAGTTTTCAAAGCTTCCCCCTATAGAAATATAGGTAGCTTTGCCTGTGTAAACATTGACCGAATCATGTCTTTTAAAGTCCTGTTCCTTCTTTCTGTCACCCCGTTTTGTTGTGGAGTCCCTGGAGTGGTGTATTGAGCAACTATGCCATTTTCTTGAAGGTATGTTGCAAAAGGACCTTTGTGTTGTCCAGCTTCAGTATACCTGCCAAAATACTCACCACCTCTATCGGATCTTACTATTTTAATATGTTTTTCCAATTGTTTTTCAACCTCTAACCTAAAAACCTTAAAACAATTTAAAGCTTCAGATTTTTCAGAAATTAAGTAAACAAAGGCAAAACGTGAAAAGTCATCAATGAAAGTGATGAAATAGGACTTCCCACATATGGTTTTGTTTGGGAAAGGTCCACAAATGTCAGTATGAATGATTTCAAGTAGATGTTGACTGCGAGTTGAACCCAATTTTCCTGTGTTGGTGAGTTTTCCTTTAAAACAATCTGTGCAGGTTTGAAAATCATTAAAATCCAATTGAGGTAACAAGTTTTGTTTGCATAAAGTGATAATTCTTTCTTTCGAAATGTGCCCCAACCTCTTGTGCCAAAGCATAGAGGATTTTTCTAAAGTGAGCAATCTTTTAGAACCAATATCTTGAACGTGAAAACATTCATGGACATATGAACATTCCATTTGCCACATATTAGTTTGTAAATAAGCGATACCAAGCAAGGAATTCATATTATTTGATTCGAAAAACCTTACACTTTTATCATCCCCAACAAAAGAAATGCCTAACTGAACTAATTTGGATGCAGAAATTAAACTCCTTCTCATTGAAGGTACATAAAGTACTGGATTCAACTCTAAAATAAAACCTGATGACATAACTAATTTAACACTGCCAATAGACTCGACAGCAACCTTACTCCCATTCCCAACATAGACATTGTAGACTTCATTGTTTACTTCCTCTGTGTTTGAGAAGCCCTGCAAGGAGTTAGTTATGTGAATGGAACATCCAGTATCAAACCACCAACTTTTAGGAGGAATATAAATCAAATTGGACTCTACACAGACAAAAACATTTGTTATTTTACCTTTCTTTGTAAGCCAGTTTTTGAAACCAATACAGTTCTTTCTCATATGGCCTGACTCTTTGCAAAAATAGCACTCCTTTTCCTTTTCTATTTCAGTGTTCATGGGTTTAAATTTGAAAGATCCTTTAGAGGTGTTAGCATTTTTAAAAGAAGAAGAAATTATATTCTTCTTCTTCTTACCAGCAGAAAACGATGAACCAGCACTGAGGGTTTTGGTCCCTTTCTCCATTTGCACCAAATTCACTTCACCAGTCTTGTCAGTTTTAAGTTGATCTTCCTCTTGAATATCAAGAGAGGCCTACACAGAAATGGGATTTAAGCACAGTTTTTTTTTTTTAATCTTGTGGTCATAAGTTATCTGTCCTAGTAGAATTACAGTAGTTTGGTTCGTGTTGTGAGATTGGAAATGGTCCAATGGAATATGTGTCGTGTTTTAGGAAGCAACTTGTGCTTTTTTTTGTCGAAATTAACTTATCAATGAAGGCTATAAGATACACGTATTCACCCTCGATTTTTAAGGGGAGGAGACCTACACTAGCTATAGTACGCAAGCTGGAACTAACACTTCAAATAGGGTCCTATGGATTCTCGTATCAAAGAGGTAGAGAATTGTGAATGAAACGTTGATTTGGTCGAATAATTCTTAATAGATGATTACATTATGATTATTATTAATGTTAAGGATTAATGCATTAAACCAATAGAATAATTAACAATAAAATCACACAATAATTATGTTTAACTGATTCCATTTCTCTAGTCCACCTTCATTTCAAGTCTCAATAATCCCGAAAAGAATAATCCTAAATTACTCCGCCAAAAATACAAATTAATGTTGGCCAATGAATGGCATTCACTGCACCCGAACCCAGACACCGTGGCTGGGAGTGCCAGCGTGGACAAGAAAAAGCAAGTAGTAACCAGGTGGGGCCACCGTGTTCTTCGGTGGGCCATACGCCGTAATCTTGTAAGCAGTCGTCGACAGGTGCTCCAGGAGTGCCACGTCCAAAACCACCATCCTCTGATTCATTGCGAACGAGTGCGTAGTAAACGACGGCGTTACCAGCGCCACCGAAATCCGGGGATCCGCCCGGTACACGGATAAAACAAAGGTAACAGAAAACTCCTGCCCGTACGATACGGTATCGTCCCTCGTTTCGACGGACAGGATCGACGGCCGCAAGGGAGCGAAGAGTGGGCCCAGGTACGGCGGGTGGAACGCCTGCAGGCTGAGATCAGTGGGGAAAGCTCTCCTGAAGTTGTACTCATTGTGCGGGTTGCTGCCGCCCACCAATATTTTGCCATCTGGCACAAGAAGAGCGGCGGAGTGGTACATTCTTGGAATGCTGCTCGGATTCAGCACCACGAATCTCCGGTCCGGATTCGATTCGTAGGTCCGGTACAAGACCGGGTTGAAAACCGGGTTTTCAGCGGCGTCCCAGCCCGCCGTCCCGTTCGATGCGCCGTTGATGATGATGACGTCACCAGTTGGCAGTAGCAGCATGTCGGACATGACACGTGGCATGGGCATTTCCTCCATGACCCATTTCGGATGCGGGTCGGACAACTTTATCCGACCGCAGCTGTTGGAGGCGCCGACGTGTATTTTATTTTTCGACAAGTTAAAAGCTCCGGGAAGCGCCCCGCCACATATCAAGATTTCAACTTCGGGCAGACCCGACCCGGACAAGACCCCGTTCATTTTGAGCGGGAGGAGGACGGAGGACCCCGTACTGGGATAGTTCCGCTTGACGGCGACCGGCATACCGGGGAGTTCCTTAACGATCCGGTTGTTACTGTGATCAAACAAGATTGACCGGTTGTTTGCGAAGATGAAGAGGTTCCCGTCGGGCAAAAGGTGCAAGAACGGGTAAAGATTGTTCTCCTCGCCCTGGTCGTTGGTCTCCGCCAAGAACCGGAAGTAGAACAACTTGTCGTACGACTCGTCGTTTTTCTTGGGGTAGAACTCGTAGGTGAAGGCTTTTCTTCCTCCCACGACGATGACGCGTCCGTCGGGGAGTATCTGGTTGGATGCGTACCAGCGGCGGTCGGAGAGGTTTGTCGGGAGCTCGACCCATTGACAGCTGTCGTCGTCGCAGGGTGAGAATGTGCGGATTCTTCGGATGCCGTTGTCGCCGTATCCGCCTGTTTGGACGAGGGCACCGTTGGCATCGAGGGCGCCGGAGGAGCACCAGGTCTCGGAGGCGACGAAGAGGGGGCGGGATGTGTCGGTGGCGAGGTCGTAGATGAGGGAGTGGGCGGTGCAGTCATTTATGGTCCTGTTGTGGAAGAGGTAATGACGGCAGGCGGCACCGTCGGGGAGGGAGAGGTTAGAAGGGCCCATATCGGTCCAGTCGAATATAATGACTTTGTCGTTTTTGAGGAGCTGCATGTGCATGGCCGAGACGCCAATGCTCTTGTGCAAAAGAACCCACTCGCCGCCGTCGGATACATTACTAATTTTCGTCGTACTGGAGGGCAGCGACGTCGTAAGGGATAAGTATTCGGAATGGGAGACGATGAAGAAGCAGGAGAAGAATATGGGGACGATGCAGGGGATAATGGAGGAGGAGAAAGAAAGGTTCTTGAAAACGGAGGCCATGGATTCTTGGGTATTGATTCACTGCGCTGGTGGAGTGTACATATATATACAGTGGATTCTCACTCTCAGTGGCTGAGTGTCTTTCCGGATGAAAGTAGAAACAGATAGCAGAGGATGAGGACGATGAAGGAGGTCTGAGCTGTGCATGGAGATGGCGGTGGCCGTGTTTTCACCTATTTAGGTCAAAGCGGTAGGTTTTGTTCTGTTCGGAGGGCCCACAGACAGCATGGTTACTTCCAAACTGGGCTCGTGGGCCGGGCCGGGCCTAACCAATATGCACATTTATGGGAGGTTTTGGTGTAAAATCATTAAGTGGGTGAATCCGAATCGGCTTTGATGTGGATGTTCCTTGAACTTGTTCGTATCCGTTTATGGGACACGTTTTTTATTATTTGAAATTACTTTTTCAATTAAAAAGGTTAAGTGAACACTGCTGGGTGCAGAGAACAGATAAAATATGAAGTGCGAAGAAGTTAAGATAATTCATCATCTTCTTATTAACTCTAGCACAAAATGATGAATTATCTTAAGGGCCAGGGTTGTAGCAAAGAAAGATTTTTTTTTTTTGATGGAGATATATGGCTCGTTTAGAACATGGAAGTGATTTTAAATAACTGAAAGTCTGAAAGAGTTTTTAGTGAAAATGTTTTTTAAACCAATCCTTAGTAAAAAAATCAAGTTTATCCTAGAAAAATATTTTAAGTGCTTGATTAGTGCTTCTTTCAAAAAGCACTTTAACCATTTTTTGAACTAATTTCACCAAAAACGGTTTTTGTCATTTTAAAGATACTTACAAACAAGTCTTTAATTAACCACCTAATTTCTATGAGCATTTTAAGTAAGGTTATAAATATCTCTAACATTATCAAGTATTTGTAAACGAACCACGAGCTGGTGGCCCAATAGTAAATGTTGGATTACGAGACTTCCTTAAAACTAAAAACTGGAGGTCTCGGATTCGAAACCCGATGCTGGTGTGGAACTCAGATTTGTGGCCAGGGGAGGCTGAAATACCTCTGTGAGTCTTACAGCTCTCGGAATGAGTGGATAACTGTGACTTACTACCAGTTGTCCCCCTTTTTCAGAAAAAATATATATTTATAAACAGGCTTGTAAATAATCGAAAAAATGTGAAGCACTCTATTCTCACGATTTCATAGGTAATTTGAAAATATCAGCAATTTTAGTGAATTTGATTTACCGATAAGTCCATAAAAAAATGGAAACAATAATTTAATAAATCGACTGTCGTCTAATTATTTCATTCACATTCATTCGTAACCAAAGACCAGTTGCAACTTGCAGCATTTATTTCCAAGCATACATCATTACGGCAAAACTCTACAATGCACCTCTTATGGGATGCACCGGATCCATTGAGCGGTTGGGTTTAGAGAGTATCAATATACCCATTCAATCACCGGCGCATCGCATACATGGGCCAACCGAAGGGCTGAATTAGCAGTCTCAATTTTACCGGTGCATCCATATCGCATAGAGGGGGTGTAGTGCAGAAAATTGCCTAATACAGGCTGGTCTAGATGCTCAAACCTACAACTTTGAAGCCATTTTATTTTCCGGACTTAAATTGAGAAGCTGGTTTGATATTGCTGTGCTTTGAAAAAAAAATTACTTTTGTTATACTATGAGAATAAGCTCATTTTTGCTGATTCACGTTTTCAGCTTTTTTTCACCCAAAACTGTAAAAATAAGCTGTTTTTAAGTGTTTACCAAACACCTTTTTAAACTCAGCTTTTTTATATACCCACTTTTTATAAAAGCACTCAGTATTAAACCAGTACTAAGCTTGATTCTTTTGATAAGAACAAAACAAAACCAGAACACAAACTTTGGTGTTTAATTTAATAGATGATTGCAACTCCAAATTGCTTTCTGCATATTTCTTTTCTTGCAAAGAAAGGTACAACACACCAAACAAGGAAGACATCACAGAAAGAGGACAAACACCAGAAGAAAGATAAACGACCGCGGGGAAGAAGGCCAATCATCATGAGCAGCTTGAAGCTGGAGTGAGTCTGAGAGTTTCGAGCAGAAACTCGATAAATTTCCACTGATGGACCTTTTATATATGAACAATTAAGTGTAACAAGGATCGAATCGGATGTGGCACCGAACCAAACTTTTTTCCGATGTCTGCATTTCCATCTACCGCCAGATAAGAACATAAATGTGTTACAATGGAATAAATTTCTAGCATGGGACTGTGGGAGATATTGGTGAGATTTAAGGCAGCACTAGCAGCAAGCAAGAAGCAGAGGTTGTTACTCTCTTAAGACTTGGAAGCGCCGGCACCCATTGTTAAGCTCCGCACTGCAATTCTGACTGCACCAACAGTGCTAAGCTGCCTCATCTCGGGGCTTAGCCCATGTTCGACCTGGTTCTTACACCCTTCTTCCATCTGAACACCCACAAAGTACGCAATCTGAACAGCCATAAACATAGTAAGAGAAACAGAGAGACAAGATGAGCAACTGGGTCCATACCAAAAGATCGGGTAAAGTGGAACTAAAGTGATTTTGTCAATTAGCACTGCCAGTTGAGTACTAATTTGTATCCTTGGGATTCAAGGACGCTGTGCCTAAGACTCATAAATGGGATTTATAAACAAAATGAACAACCACATTCAACAGGCCAAAATATCAAGAGGTTCAATTCTTTCATAAAATGGAGAAAGATTAGAAATTGGTAAACTGTAACACCTCCGATGATATTATCCATCAATGCTTGTGCAACACAAAACCCATAGTTACAGCTCAGCCAACACATCTCTCCAAGTTAATAATGTCTTAGCTAATATAATTTTCTCATTTGTTCATACGGTTCCACACAAACATGGAAATCAACTGTCTGTGAACTGTGAAGCAATCCCAATACAAGAGAAAAAGGAAGGAAACTTGGTCCCCCGAAAACGAAACTGCATATTTGTATACCAGAAAAGGTTGATCAATTGAAAAGCATTTTCTGCCTTACTTTTCTCCAAGCAAAGGCACACCAATACATCTCATTGACGAAAACAATTAACAGTACAAAAAAATAAGATTCAACTAGAGTTGTGAAAGCTTTAGCCATAAAGTACCTTGCCAGAAGCATTACGAATAGGTGATATGTGAAGGAGATTCCAAAATGAATTTTTATCCTTCCTGAGAATGAAATAGCAACAAAGTCAAATCCGATGAATAATTTGTAGTGCATGTGGAACATATAGAACAAATAGTTAAGCAGCAACCTGTAATTCAAGATACGTACTGTGCATGCTGTTTCGTTTTGAATGCTTTCCTTTATCTGAGGGGAAAATAAGCAAAAATGGGATGATGCACTAACATCTATCTATTCCACCAAATCACCAAAATATATGGTGACGACATAATCACGACGAAAAAGGGAAAATACCCGATATATCATTGAGGGGTCTGTATCCGTCCCACTCAAAAATCTACAATTGCGCCCCAAGACTTCATGTCTGGCATAACCTATACAGGGAAAACAACTAAGTTGAGTAACTGCATATGCTGGATTATTCAAAAGATTTGCATACAACATGGAGTTTAGATGGTTAAGAAAGACCCTGGCAAATAGCTAACATTGTACATGTTACCTGTCAATTTGAAGAAGGCATCACTTGCATAAACTATAGGCATATCCGGTAAGTGTGAATCAGTTCTGAAAGCAACACAATCATATCGAAGCAAACAAAACGTACAATCATCAGCAATCTTCAGAAAGCATGAAACCTTCTGCAAAGTAAGGAAATGAGAATTTGCAACAACTCACAATACAAAGCTTTGTTTGATTCTACCAAGAGATATATTTAAGGCTGAACTGAGAAGTCCCACCCCACATAAGTTGCATCTCTTCCCACAAACTAATCTGCCCGTTAACTCGCTATAGTGCGTTAGCACGGACAAGATGTTATTAATAGCAGTTGCAGCTCTCGTCTTCTCTACATCACTTGCCTCACACGATTCTTCAATGTTGAATCCTGTGTGTTACATGGTAAACGAAGACTCAACCACAACAAAAATTTGGTCACAATCAAAACCAGAAACCGCAATCAACACAGCTAGAACACCGAAAAGAATGTAGTTTAAGACTAACAACACCAACAATCATAGATAACAGGAAACAACAATTGAAAAAGTAACATATTACAAAATTACTTGGAACAAAAAATTAAGAAATTGCATTACACGAACCTCTGCTATCAGCATCGTCCAATGCAGATTCCAATGACAAAACACGACCCAAATCAACCAAAGAATCAAAGCACACCTCTTTTCGACACGATCCGTAAACAATCTCACTCATCCTAGACCCCTCCTCACACAAACCAACCCCATTTCTCCCACCAGACCGCCTCGGCTTCCTCGAAATCGGAACCTGAACTCCCACGAAATGAATCACCCTCCCATCCTCCTTCCCAAAAACAGGACACATATGAAACAGCATCCAAAAGGGCGTCCCGTCTTTCCGATAATTCAGCAAATTAATCTGGACGGCTCGCTCCTCCCTGATGGCCTCCCGGACCTCCATGACCGACCGCCTGCAAGTCCCCGGACCCTGAAACACTCTGCCGTTCCTCCCGACCACCTCGTTCTTCGAATATCCCGACATTTTCAGGAACTCTTTGCTCGCGAACACGATTGGGTGCCCGGAAATCCAAGGGTCAGTGATCGTGAAGCTATCGGGCAGTTCCCCCAGAGCTTCCTGGACCCAGAGCGAGTAGCGGCTGATGAACGACTGCTCGATTAAACCCAGCTCCGATTCCATCGTCCCTGTTCTCCAATCACTTCCACAAAACCTTCGCCGCTCTGTGTTCGATCGAGTCCCAATCCCATGTGGGCACTCGTAAAGTTAAAAAATTGGAGAAAACCCAGTTGAGAAAACGAGCAGAGCACGCAGAAATTCAAAGAATTTTATCAATCGGCGTCGCCCATTGATTACTGGGTGAGTTTTGTGACATATGAAATGTAAAGATACCAGCTTTGATGAGCATTTCTTGCGAGAAAGTGAGCTTATAGTGAAAGGGAACCCATCAGGATTTTCAAATTCGAAAATATCTAGTGTCTGAGAAATACCCATCAATCGTCTTTGGTTTAATTAGTGCGAAAAATAAATAAATCTGAATTTCCGTTTTTTTTTCTGAAGCAGTATTTGACACAACAGTGTGTACAACTAGAAACCCACGAAACAGCCAACAGCATCCTCTCCGGATCATTTCGGTGGGGATTTTAAAAAACAAAACTAATGAAAATGGTTTGAAAATTTTGAGTTTTAATGATAA